CGGATTTCTCTCTTCCTCCCTCCCCCGGCAGCTCGGCTCGGCCCTGCCTCCGGGGCGGCTGGGCGAGAGTTTGACGAGCCGCTTTGCAAAGGCTGCCGGTGCTGCGGTAGTTTACAAGTCGTTTTCCAAAGCCCGATGACGTCGTGCTGGTTTATGAGTCATTTTACAAAGCCTCGGTGATGTTACATTAGTTTACGGGCCTGTTTGCAAAGCCTGGTGGTGTTGCATTAGTTTACAAGTCGTTTTAGTAAGCCTGCTGGTGTTAACGCTAGTTTGCAGGTTGCTCTGCGAAGCCCGATGGCGTTGTTAGTTTATGAGCTGTTCATATTTCCTGGAGCCTGGTGTGAGCAGAGGTTTCCTGCTTTTGCAAGGCCAAGGGGACGGGTTAATTATTAATTACCGATGGAAACATGGGTGCTGCTGTAGCAGAGCCTGTCCCTGCCATGCCTTGGTCCCCTTTCCCACACCTTTCAAGGATCCAGCCGTCTCCGTGCTGAGCCGGTTCAGCTCACTCATCCAGCATTTGCTGGGCAATCACAGGCCAAAAGAGGAGGGGGCTGCACCCAGCAGCTTGCATGCAACAGTTTGCAACCCTCATGTGATAATATCGTTTTCGGTGGTTGTTTTTTGCAGCGTGCCAGCGCTATGCACCCGCCAGCCGGCAGCTTTCCCCCAGATGAGGAACCTCTGATCGAGGAGTCCACGGTGAGCAGGTACAGCCGGCAAAAGCCAAGTGACCGCTTACATGGCACCTACATTATTTTTTTCCTCCTGGGCATCGGGTCCCTGCTGCCCTGGAATTTTTTCATCACGGCAAAGCACTACTGGATGTACAAGCTGCAAAACTGCTCGGATCAGGCAGGCCCGGCGGGACAGGCAGCAACATCGGATCTGCGGGTGAGTGTGCTGCTTTTGAGGCAGAAAAAACAGCTGGGTTCCTTCCTAACTTGCTCTTTTTCCCTTCCACTTCCCCAGAAGGTGAGTGAATGTCCTCTGGGGTTTTGCTTGCTGCAAACCAGGGGTAGAGGTTTCTTTGGGGAGCACAAACAGTTGCAAGAAAGTTGCTTAAAACTAAAAGGTGTAGTACATTGTGGTCTGTCTTTTACCTGGATTTGAAGTGCTGAGGTTTAAGCTGCGTTTAAAAAATTTGGCTTAATCTGCCCCATAAGCAAGGCTGCCTTTCACAGGACGATAAAAATCTTTGTGGTTTTTTTTGTCCTTCATGCTTGGTAAGCCCCTGAGCGCTGCAGGGCTCTGTGCTTTTCCAGCCAGACTCGGGCTGCAACGATCCGAGTGGGCTGGGAGATAAATTGCTCTGAGCTTCTTGCCCCATGGTGAGGCATCGAACAAGTTTTAGGCATTTTCTCCCTTGCACTGGCTGGTGCAGCACGTCATTCGGAGGTGGCAGCAGGGTTTTGCGGGAGCACCAGCCCTGGAGCTTGTGGCTTGTGAGAGTCTCGAGCCCCCCCCGGATGCTTTACTGCTTTTCCTTCAAGATCTGGCAGTTGTGACTGGAGTATCTCCTTGCAGCGATGAACATCTGGCTTTTGGCATATGGGACAAGGAGCTTGTCACGGGGCGATTGATGAGCCAGCCTTGGGGCGGCAGGCTTGATGGCCTCTCTTTTTTTCGCTAAAAAAGCCGCCTTCTCTTGCTCCTCCTGCCACGGCAAGATTATTTCCCTGTGCCCCACTGACAAAGCAATGTTGTTTCTTTGTGGCTGGAAAAAGTGTTGGTGTGATGAGGCTGTGTGCTGTCCTCCTCCCATTGCTGAGCTTGTTCAAGTGGTTTGGGCACATTTTATTTTTATATAAACACAGAGTCAGGTGTGATGCCCACATTTTCTCTATGACTTCTTACACCAGTACCGCATCCACAGCTGTTTTAATTTTAATAGTTGTTAAGCTGGCTGTATTTTTGATGGGGAGGAAGCAGAGTGTCACTGACGGTGCTTGTACCAGGATGCTGACGTACCGGTGTGCTGGAATAAATTGAGATACTGGGTGGATTAAACTGGTGGAGACCAAGTCCCCGTCGTGCCCGAAAATCGCAAATAGGCTGCCCCTGTGCTAGCAAGGATGCTCAGAGAGGGGGCGAAGGGTGTGATGTCCTCCCACATTCCCTGCATCCCACCCACTCCTCCTCGCTTCTACATCACACTTAGCCGAGGCAATTCTTGAAAAAGCTGTTCTCAAGTAGACTAAGTATCACTAGGTGTCTTCTTCCTAAAAACTCTTGCACAGCTGTATTCCTGGTCGGATCAGCCATTACCTTGTCAAAAAGATGTTTCTCCTCTTTCTGTATGGCCGTGGCGCAATGCTTTTGACCTCCTCCTGTGAAAAGCAACCTGGCTTTTCTGTGGTAGTCGAGTCTGATCAAAAAATAAACCAGTCGGCCCCGTTTCTGCGCTGAGATGGTGAGCCACGGTGCTGCGGCAGGAGGGCTTGCCTGCAAACAGAGCTCGACTCTGGAAAGATGCACCTGTGACTGGCAGCCTGCTCTTGGCTCCAGCCTGCTCAGGGCTGCTAATTTCATGCTCTGTGCTCCAGGTAACGCTCCGGTACCTTCAGCCACCACCGTGGGCCTGGATTGCTTTTCCAGCCCGGCAGGAGCCCAGCTGCTGAGTCCAGGCTGGAGCAGAAGAAAAACTACTTTGCAAAAGACGTCTTGGCCATGCCGGTGACTCATTTGCCACCGCGATGCTTTGTTCTTGTTTGGGTTTTGGGTTTGGTTTTTTTAAGGTACCGAGTGCACGGCGTGCATCGTGGCAGCGTGTTTGAAGATGCTGTAGTTAATATAGGGTCAAACACCTCCTTTGTGTGCCTGAGGATGACACCTTCCCCGCAGGAGGTGGAGGAGGTGGGAGGAAGGCGGCTTTGCGTGTGGAGGAAGAGGTCGGGTTTGCTTTGGGGATTATTATTTGTCGTTAGCCAGGAAAGGCGTGCCAGTCTTTCAGTGTTTGCGTCTCTCCTCGAAAACCATGTCGGCGATAGGGAGCTTGGCCCTTGCGAGCAAGGGATGCCTGGAGGAGATAAGCCGGCCGGTCAGGGAGGGCTCAGCAGAAAGGGAGAAGAACTAGGTATATCTTGTATAGCCAACAGTTTGCTCTGAAAGCATGTCTGTGGTGGGTGGGAATACCCACGCAGGGAGAAGAGTTACCGTCTGAGCTGGATTAACACCTAACGAGCAGGAGCAAAGAAGTGGGATGAGTATGGAGCCTGATGTTTTCCCTTGATCTGGGTATGGATTAAATTTGCCACCCGCCATTCTGCTGCCGCATTAAAAATGTGGCGTGAGGGCTTTCCTTTTTCACAGAGATGACAGCAATTGAAACCCTTCTACTTGGCTTTTCTTTACCAGCAGGGTTTGGCCGTGGGTAAGGCAAGGTAAAATTTCCCAGTGCAGTGCAGGTTCCTCAGTTTCTTAAATGCTTCCCCAATTCTCTTCCCACCGCTGGTGTGAGCACGGTTGCTGGGAATGAATGAACATTTCCCCAGGGTGCTCAAAACGCAGCATCTCTGCTGGATTACTTCAAGGACACTCCTGCTTGGTGGAAAGCATTATAAAGTCTTTTTTCCTCCCCAAAAGAAAATTAACTTGGAAGTATATTAAATATCCCCAGGCTGGTTTGGGGGGTTGTTTTAAGTAGGTTGGTAAGTAAGTCTTAGTTTTAGCAGCCAACTTTGCATTTTGCTTTGTCTTTTCTCCTATAATTCATCATATGGCCGTAGAGCTTTGAGCCTCCTGCTTCGCCGAGCCGATGCCGTAAGTGCAGGCATTCATGTCTCCGTCTGTATGGACCCTCTAGGAGCGATTATTAGATTTGCTGTTGCTTACAGTAAAGCTCCTGATAGGGAAGGATAAATGAACATGCTTGTAAACTGATTAAAAGACTATAATGCAAAGCTGCAAAAAAAAAAAAAGAAAAAAGTAATGTGCAGAGAAAATGTGCCAAGTGCCTTCTCACGCTCGGACGCAATGTGGCCCCGTCTCTGTAGCTAGCTAACTGCAGAAAATGAAAGCCCATTGCGATGGGGATGGATATGTAGGTCATCTTCTTTGCGAGCATCGTCCTACCTGCTGGCTGAGATTCCCGCAGGAAAAACAAGGGATTAAGCACCTCGAGGGGAGAAGATGGAGCAGACATGCTTTAACAGCATAATACATAAAATGAATTGAAAACGAAGCGTTTGGCTGCAGTCTTGGCAAAGAAATCTCTCTCTCTCTCTGCTGTGGTTATTGCTTTCCACGTGCCCAGCCTGGCCTCTGTGCGAGGTGGGCTGGTCAATATTGACTGATGCTGCAGCCGACTTGCTCGGATGATATACGAGTCCCTGGAGTAAATGTGTATTGAGTCTCAATATAGTTTCTCAGTGAGTTACATGCACGCGGAGAGGGAGACCGGGAGGAAAGATAATGTCCCTGTGTCCCCACTTGGGCTGCTTTTGCTCAAGCACGTTCTCAGGCACGGTGTCCCGGTCGTTCCGCATGGAGAGGGATGCGCAGGTTTGCTAGCTATCGCAGGCTTGCAAGGCAGTTAGCTAATAATATTAATGCTTTTGTGTCCTGATTTATAAAAACCAGCCCTCACGGAGCTCGAGTAGGATAAAATGGTCAGGGGGTTTGTCCAGGATGCCAGAGCCAGCAGGAGAAATCCAGACCTCCTTACTTCGGGTGCTGCCCTGTGGGGCCAGTGCAGCGGTAAGGCAGGTATTTCCTTCACCATATTTGCTTCTGAATTTGTTATGTCTCTAATTTCCTGAATATCCCAGGGCTGCTGCAGGACAAAAAAGCCCCGGGACCCCTTCCCGCTGCCTGTTGTCCTGAGCAGCTTTGCAACACGTGCTACAATGCAACGAGGTGGACACCTACATCATAACTCGCCATCCGTGCTGTATCGTGCTGTATTTAGGACCTGAAATTCATGTGTTGTTCCCCCACTAACATTTTTTTCTTCTTTTTTTTTTTTTTTTCTTCTCTTTCCTGGCAGGACTTTTTTGAGAGTTACATCTCCATTGCTTCGACTGTGCCCTCGGTGCTGTGCCTCATCGGAAACTTCTTGCTCGTCAACAAGTAAGCGCTGCTCCATTCCCGGGTCCGCTGGCCACGGCTCTCCCTGGCTTTGTCTGCATCACTCCTGCCTTTCTCTGGCTCAGCCTTCCCTTCTCTTTGGGGGAAGCCACGGGGCATCGTGAGCACAGCCTCCCTGTGCGGCCAAAATCCCCGCGCCTGCCCCTGCCTAAACCGCAGCCGGCTGCGATGAAGCGGGGTGAAGCACCCTGCTCCCTGCCAGCAGCACCCATGCCTGGGGTTGGCTTGAGTTGCACCACTGTAAATAAATTCCTGATCAATTCCTTGGTTAATTGCTTGGCAAAGGGTCTTTCCTCTTAAAGATGCCATCGTTGTTACCAGGGGACCGGCTGATGAGAGCTGGGCTTATCCAGGCAGGAGTAAGGCCTGGCTCTAGTCCTGCCAGCCACTGAACTGGGTTAAGAAATGGACCATCTGTACCTTGTTGCAAACTTGATTTACATATAAAATAACTGCCTCCCCTCATTTGTACTGTTCCTTATCCCGTGTCAAACTCCTGCACTTTTGCGGGCGAAGGAGAATGTGTTTGTGTGCTTAATTTCTAGATCCCGGCTCCCTGCCTTTCTCCCTCGTTCCTTCCATCCTGCCCCCAGGCCAGCCCATCCAGTCTCCTGGCTGGGTAATGAGCAACGTCCGTGCTCAAACAGCTAATTATCTTGTAGTGACATGACCTGATTGCTTTCGCCCAGCCTGCTGTGTTTCCCAGGCAGGCTTTATCACTGCTGCTGTATGTTGCTCCAATGATGGGGATAGCTCCTGATTTCTGGGAGAAATGGGTATTTACAGCTCAGCTGGGCTTACAAACTTAGTCCTACTGATGGCAAAAGTGAAAATTGCAGAGTTAACATCTAAAGGCTTCTGAGAAAAATCATTACTTTTTATTCCTCATCTCCCTCCACCTTCATTTTCTTTGACCCTTCTCACAGCAGAGGAGTTGGTGTCCTCTGCATCGTGCCTTCACGTTATGGTTTTAAACGCAGGACTCTCTCCTTCCCCTCGTCCCCAGGGTGCCTGCCAGCGTCCGGATCCTGTCCTCCCTCTTCGTCATGCTGGCCGTCTTTCTGGTGATCACGGTGCTGGTGAAGGTCGACACCTCCGCCTGGACCACCGGCTTCTTTGCCCTCACCATCGGCTGCGTGGTCGTCGTCAGCAGCGCCTCGACCGTCTTCACCAGCAGCATCTTTGGCCTGAGCAGCTGCTTCCCCATGAAGAACTTGCAGGCGCTGATCTCAGGTTGGTGCCCTCCAGCGGCACCGTCCCGGTGGGATCGTGCTCTTGGGTCTTCTGTGGTCGCGTGGTTGGTTCTCTTTCCCTCCTGCATCTGGTGTTTTGTCACACGGGGTTTATTTTAGAAACTTAACTTTGCCTTAAAGATAAAGGGAAGTTGCTGAAGGAGAATCATGCTCGGTCACATGAGCCGGTGCTTTTTTTTCTGTAAATACCCATAAACCAAAGTGCTGAGGGCTCAGCAGAAGCGAGGAGAGCGGCGGTCCTTCGCTGTCCCTGTCCGGGGGGTGAACATGCTGCGGAGCAGCTCCGGCCAGCATGACAGCTTGAGCTGGTTGGTTGTTCTGTGCAGGGAGAAGGGGGGAAGAGACATGTCCCTCAGCTCCTCTCTTTGCAGCTGGAGGAATCTTCAGCTTTGCGTTGTCTCCTCCTTTCTGTTCAGCGTTTTCATGCGTTTCTATGAGTGATGAGGGGCACGTTGGGAGCCGTGAGTGATGAGCTCCCTGGAGGGTTGATAACATTATAAATGTGCTGTGGAATGGCTGACAAACCGAGAGGGGAAGGGGAAAAAATCAAGACGGAGAAGTTTTTCCCGGGGCCGAGACAGGAGTGTTTTAATGAGTTTAGCCCAGTGGGGGAAATCACCGCATCCGTGAGATGGCATAACTCTTGCTGGTGGCTTGAATTCCTCTCTGGGGGAGTGCAGAAGAGAGGTGGTTATATGTGTGCCCATGGAAAGCCAGGTTTAGGCTTTGGGCAGGCTTTGGACCTTCTCCGCAGGACTCGGCACGTGCAAGCCCAGCGGGCTGGGTCCCATCCTGACCCTTGTGCAGTGCCGTGGCTGTGTTGGAACGGGATGCAGGATGGGACCTGGGCTGCGATGCAGCTCCACAAATAGCTGTGTTGCAGCGAGGCATGGAAATGGAGATGAGGTGGTGTGTGAAGCTGTACCCTGAGCCAGGTTTGGGGATCAGCGTGTGGGGCAGGGGGGTGAGCTTCTTCCTCCCGGGGGGGTTTGTGCACGCCAGGAGGTATTAGTAAGAGGATGCTGCTGTTTCTGGGTTCCCCCTCCGCATCAAAGTCCTCTTCGCTGGAGGTGCTCTGGGTTGCTCTCTGCCACCTCGAAGTCCCTCAGCTGCGCCCATCTCGGTCAGGCTGGCTCGGCCCCAGGCGCTGAGCTCTGGTTTTCTGGTCCCCCGCACAGGTCAGGCCATGGGCGGCACGATCAGCGCCGTCGCCTCCTTGATAGACCTGGCGGCAGCGGCCGACGTTACGGACAGCGCCCTGGCCTACTTCCTCACCGCCGACATCTTCATCGTCATCTGCGTCATGGTGTACCTCCTCCTTCCCAGGCTGGAATACTCCAGGTGTGTGCACCAGCCTGCCGTGGGCATCCCACAACCACGGGTTGGGAGGATTTGCCGCTGTCGATGCCGAGCGGGGTTGCTGGGGGGGGGACCCGTGGGATGTTTGCTGTGCCGGTCCCTGCCCCGGCACCCCCCGGCATCCCAGCCGGCACCCCGCGCGCTCCGTCTCCGGCGCTGTGCCGCACTTCCCCATTTGACCGAAACCACAGACTGAAACTGGGCGCCCGCCCCAGCGTGTGCTGAGTTTCTGGCAAGCCTCCCCGGGGGGGGAGAGGGGTGCTGACGCTGGGGCTTCCAAAATGCGTGAAGTCAGCGGAAAGCTGTAATCTGGAAGCAGGTGGGTCCCTGTAGGGCGTCCGTATCTGCAACATCACGCACTGATGTGCATGACCCGTTGGTCTTGGTGCTCGCAACACCTGAAACCACCTGGCCCCCCAAACGCCTGCGTGCAGTAGGTCCCCCCGCTGTGAACCACCGAGGGTGTAAAGGAATCCCTGCCGTGGGGAAGAGGGGGTGGTGGGTCCCTGAGGGTCACCTCTGCATTCGAGGCGGGAGCTGGAGGCGTGACGGGGTCTCTGCCACTGCCTTTGGTGGGTCCAGCGGACGTCCGTGCGTCACCAGCTTCTTTCCTGCTCTCTCTCCAAATCTGAGTTTGTGGTTCCCCCCCTCCCTGCCACGCTTGGCTAATAATCTCCCTCCTTCTTCTTTTCCAGGTATTACATGAGCAGCCAGAAGGAGAGCCCGTCTCTGGCCACCGTGCCACCCAACAGCTCGGTGGAGGACGAGGCAGAGCCAGGAGGCACCGCAAATACCCCCTTCCTTGCAAAAAGCACTGGCATCCCCCCGCTCCGCCCCATCCTGGAGAAGACCGCCCTCCTCGGCTTCTGCCTCTTCTACGTCTTCTTCATCTCCATCATCATCTTCCCTTCTCTCTCTTCCAACATCGAGTCGGTCAGCAAGTCCTCAGGAAGCCTGTGGAGCACTAAGTACTTTGCGCCACTTACCAGTTTCCTCCTGTACAACCTCGCCGACTGGTGCGGGAGGCAGATCACCGCCTGGATCCAGGTGCCTGGCCCCAAGAGCAAGCTGCTGCCCGTCCTCGTCCTCCTCAGGACCGTCTTCCTCCCTCTCTTCATCCTCAGCAACTACCAACCCCGGGCTCACATCCAGACGGTGCTCTTCAACCGAGATGTCTACCCGGTGGTCTTCACCGTGCTGCTGGGGCTGAGCAACGGCTACCTGGGGACGCTGGTCATCATCTACGGCCCCAAGATCGTGCCGAAAGAGCTGGCCGAGGCGGCCGGGGTGGTGATGACGTTTTACCTCATGCTGGGGCTGGCCGTGGGGTCCGCCTGCTCCGTTCTCATTGTCCACCTCATGTAGAGGAGCAGCCAGGGGGGATGCCCTCGGTTTGCGGTGCTGCTGTTGGGTATTTAGGTTTTGTTTTTTGTTCCCCAAAAAGCCTGGCATGCCACGGTTTTGGGGCAGGCTGCCTGTCTTGAGGGGGGGGCGTTGCATCCAGGGGGAGAGCCCTCCTTCTGGGAAGGGGTGTCCCCTGTGCTTGGGAGGTCCTGTTGGACGTTTGTCACTCCCCGGCTCAACCAAAGCAAATGGACCAAAAAAAGCCTTGTGCTCCCCAAGGAGCTCAGGGAAGCACCGGGGGGGCACAGGGAAACTTGTCCCTCATCCCAGTGCCAGTGGGCGAGGGTGGCTTGCTGGTGCCACCACACCGGTTTTAAACTGAACCCAGGGCTTTTGACGGCACCTTGGGTTTCGCTGCCTCATTGTTACGAGTTTAGCCCTGCAGTGGTTTGGTGGTCGAGGGGATCCCCCTTCATCAGGCTGTGATGGTGGTGTTAAGCTAAAGGGAATTTGAGCCCTGGAGCACCTTCAAGCAAGCTCCGGGAGCAGAGAGTAGCCGCACAAGAGAGCAGGGCACTGTTTTGGGGGGGATTTCATACATTTCGTGCCACAAAAAAGCATATATAAGGGAAAGCTCTCCACTTGAACTTCTGCTTGCTTTAATTTTTCCAGATAAGATTGAATCAAGGGCTCATCCACCTCCCAGCACGGTGCTACTAGGGCTGGGGCTGTGTGTCGTGGCCAACCGGAGACCATTTCTCCTGCTGTGACCGCGGTTGTGGACACAGACTTACCTGTCTGCAGCTGAACCCCAAGGAAAGCGAAATGCTAAGGGGTCCTAACCTAAGGTTTTTAAGGTGCCTTTAGTCTGCATTGAGGAAGGTCTATAAAAGCCAGGGAGAGGTATTGGAGAGGCTCTGACGTGATGGTCACAGCAGAAAGCTGATTAATTTACATAGGCGGGCTGCATATGGTCTCCAGATGTTTTCGGAGGGGTGAGCTACTGTGACACCCAAAAATACAGCCCACCCAAAGAGGACTGGCTTTTAAAGTCACTTTAAATATGCAAATGCAACCTGGACCGAATTCAATAATTGCATTTATTTTCTCAAATTGGGTGGATTTATGGTCTAGGAGAGGTGAACTGGTAAGCAAGGATGTAACGGCATAACTTGGCATTGCAGCTGATGCCTCAGGGCTACTATCTATGGAAAATACTTCCTCTAAGACTGGGTTATTAGCAGGTGTTCTGTTAGTGGGATGCTCTCTCAGCATCTCCCACTTGACAGAGTAGCGGCGAAGCTGCTGGGCTGGGTTGTGGGTCCGTCTCCCTGCTGTGCTGGATGTGGTGGTTAGCAAGAGGGACGATGCGGGGCTGGTGCCTTTCCACCCGTGGGAACCCTGGCTTTGCTGGGACAACAGCAGGATCGACGGTGGTTATTGCCATGGGGTGACACGTTGGCTTGGTGGGTGTTGGGTTTTTTTATATAAATCCTTTCCAGTGTTTAGTTTGGGCTTGATGGCAGTACACACGCAGTTTTGCTTTACGGTTGGTTTTTATTTAAACATAAAATCCAGACATGAGTGGAAAATTTACAGGGCGTGCTGTACCAAGGAGCAGCTTTACGGCACGTGACTTTGCACGTGCGGGCTCTTAATCCCGTCGCTTCAGTAGGTTTGCAGCCCTTTAGCCCCTGACTCTTGGCCAGGGGCAGCTTTGGCCAGCGTTGACCCCGGCAAAGGTCCACCTCAGCTCAAAGGGCAGCCCAAGGGTAGCAATGCTGGCTGGGTGCTGCTCATGGGGGTAAGCGCTCCCATCGCCTCTGTGGGTGCTGGAGCATTGCTTGGAGTGATGTGGTACTCGGTCGTGGCTGAAAAGCCCAAGCCAACCTCGTGCTGGCAACCGAAACATCCCTTTGTGGCCTTCAATGCTTCACACTTGAGAGCTTCTTCAACTCCGGTCCCAGGTATGAGATTCTGCTTGTCTGCTGACTGCTTTGCACCTCTGCTGATCCTCTCCCTCATGGTCCAGACCAAATACCTCTTGAGACAGAACTTAATTATCCGGTACCGTTGCTAATAAAATTAATTCTTGATACTGTGCAACTGCTGGTGTCTGGAGTGATTTCTCTTGGAGACACACTGATGCATGCAGTTTTAGCTTGTGTTTTTCCTTCTGGTCATCCTTCTCTCCCAGCTTGGATTGTAAACTTGGAGAAAATCACTGACAAGAGCCGGGTGAAGGAGCCCCGAAAGAATTGCTTTGAAAGCCTGGTTATTCTAATTTAATATCTCCAAATGACCCGCAGGTAGGTGTGGAGAGCATACTTACTGCATCTGCAGGGGGAAGCAAGCAAAAAGGGAATTTATCCTTTGTCTTTGATGGTATTCAGCTAAGGAAAGTTAGAGAAATGAGTGGAAAAATCAATACAGGTTCAGATTGGGCAAGAATCAGGTCTGGGTATAAAGCAGGGAGTGCTGGTGGGAGTGCGGCGGTACGGGGATGGATGCTGACAGGCAGCCTGAGCCATGAGCGTGTGGGTGATGCCCCTGCAAAAGGGGACGGGTAATTTATAGATTGTTGCATATAACGGCAGGGAAGTAATTACTGCCGTATACTGCCTGGGTGAAGTCGCATCTGATGCCCTGTGTAGGCTGTATCGAAGAGCTCAAGGTAAGAAAAAAGCAGAATGACGAGGGAAACGGTGGTTGCAGGGCAGAATGAAGGATCCTATACCTCAGATGCGTGAGTTGAGGCGCAACCACAGTTTCTTTCTTGATGGTTTTGAGTAATGTATCTTTGATAAGGAATGCAGCCTTTGACCCCAGTTTCCAGTTCAGGAATGACGTGTGCTCTCTGCTCTACACAAGCATCGAGGTGGGACAGCCAGCAGAAATACTGCGGGGGTCAAAACCCTACTTCATGGCATTTAGTCAGGAGATTACACCTTTTTTTTTTTTTTTTTTTCCTAGGTCTCAAAGAGCTTTACAAGAGGCAGTTTGCTCCCCAGGTCTTTGTTTGAACCTGGGACACCTGAAGACCTCGGGTATGGGCAGGGTTGGGCGCTGAGCTGGGTCCATGGGTCTTCCTCGCCTGTCCAAACCGGCGCTGCCAGGTTTTGTGTCTGTCTTTAATTAACGCCATCCCTTCGGCCGCTTAAGAAAGACTAGCAGGGTTGTAAATGTTTTCACCATCTTTCAGCCGAAGCAAGCAGGTTGTGAGGTGGCCGGCGGGGGAAGGACCACGTGCTCTCTGCAGGGCTCGGCCTCATCTCACCAGTGGGCGTAAAACGAGCGATGCCGGTGCTTGCAAAATTCATGAGGGTGGGCCCACGAAGCGAAACTAAATCAAAGATGGGCACGAAGCCCTGCATGGTGCCAAGTGACAGAGCCACCACCGTTTGCCCAGCGCTCAGGGCCAGCATCGCTGGCAAAACAACCCGGAGGATGGAGAGTCCCCAGCTCTGCAGAGGGCTGGCAGCCTGGCACGGTCAGGATGCTGTGCCTGCCCCACGCTGGCTTCTCCAACGGCCTTTGGTGTTAAATCCAACTGGCCGAGGGGAAGTGAAGGCTGTGAACTGGCAAAGTAACACCGGCAAGACGGGAGGGCGCGGGGAGCAGGAGGGGGTTGGATGAAAGGGCGGAAAGTGGAGGAGACACATCTGCTGCAGCTTCTGCTCAAAGGAGACTAACGGAGCCTATGCCTGACCTTTTTTTGTCCGCTCTCTCAGCTTAGTGGTGCCAGTTATTCCTCCCTGCTTCAGAGCTGGAGCATTTTGGGGCTTTAAAGCAAACAAACTCACTCTAGGAGGGGAGGAAACTTTTCTTATGGATACTCATCTCCCATTAGTTGCAAGTGACTATCCCTCTTTCTCTCTGAGCTCCAAAGCCTTGTCTAGCCTGTCCCCACACGGTGGAGTGCCCCGCAGGGTAGAAATGCCACCTTTCCACCTGTGATACCAGCCTTTGCATTATAGAGGCTTTGGTGCAGCATTCTCACCCTTTGGGAGGTGGAAGCATCTTTGAAACAACCTCCTTATCCTTCAGCATCGCCTTGGTGGTGACCGAAGAGAAGCTCCGCTGCCTCTCAGCTGCTCCACTGTACGTGTTTTGGGGCAGGACTCATCCTTTCAGTGTTTTGCCAGGATGCGCTGCAGGTCAAAAGCCCAGATGGCCAAACTGGGACTGCCTTTGGTGGCTCGACTGCGGGAGCGGGGGCTGCTAGGGTGGTGGGACGTGGTACCTGGCAGGGTGTCCGCCCGGCAGCGCAGAGCATCCCCGCACATCTGCACCCGCGCCTGTCCCCGGCATCTCGACGAAGCTCTTAATGAGCTCTGGCGGTCCCCGTGGCCGGCCAGGGGCCAGCATGCATGACCTTGTTCTTAATTACTGCCTTGTGGCAGCTTCATTTGTATGGGCAGCGGGGTCCCCAGGCAGCGCCCTGTTCTGCACGGCCGCTCGGGCAGCGTGTGGGGAGCCGTCACCCCGCCACAGATGAGGTGATGCTCTCCGACCCTTGTTCCTCCAAAACGCTGCCGTCTTCCCCTCTGCAGCCACAGGAAAGGTATTTTCAAGGTATTTTAGCTCTCGGCCCTTTTTCCCCTTCTTGCACGTTTGCGTGCACGGGGTTGGAGCTTGCCAAGCTCCGCGGCTTTGCAGCGAGCGTCCTCCTGAAAAGGGGCGCGTGAACCGAGGGCTCGAAATGCCGGCGGTCGTCTTCTTCCACGGGGGCTCGGGGAGGGCCACGGTCCCCAGCAGATGAGCCGAGCTGATCCTGCCCCTCTGCGGGCGCCCCAGAGAAAAAAAAAACCACTTGGCTTTGAAACCTCGCCAGCCAGCTGCAGGCTTGCCCGGCTGCTGTTCTCCTTTTACATGTTTTATGGAGTAATTTGTACTATATTTACACGACGGTGATAAACAGTTTTTAAAATGGAAGCGAAGAAAACGCTGTTGAATGAATTGTTACAAAAAAGCCCTGTTTGCCATTCCAGCAGGGGGAAAAAAAGGGATAAAAATCACCATCCTAGGGACATGCTGTTCGTCAGATCTGGGTATTTTTTCCCTTGATTTGTGTGCCTAATGTGAGAAGAAGAAGTCGCAGATGCATGCTGAATTCTGCAGGGAACATATGCATGCATTTAAATCATTTACAGCATTTACTGGTGCAATTGTAAAGCACATTATTTTTCTGCATTTGTAATTAGGCTCTAAACAGATGGTGAAGGACTGTAGCTTCTGATTAGACAGGCTTGTGCTCTGTTGGACGGCACTGTGAGAACAAACTGAGCTGAGAAAGTTTTCCTCCTAATTTATCACACCATGGTGGGGGGGTGTAGAGTATCTGGGGCTGGCTGAGCACGAATTCCAGCGTGCCCGTAGCAGGCTGGGCAAAGCTGAGTGAACCGGCGGGTCTGCTCCCTCTGCCATCCCTGCTCGCTGATGGATGGGGCGTACACAGCCCCCCCCAGCTCAGCTTCAGTTCCAGATTTTGTAACCCTGCCTCGCTCTACGCTGCACAGCTTTGGGTACCCAACAGCGCAGGACGGAGCGCCTGCTTTGACAAATGCTTTTAATATGAAGCAGAAGGCGTGGGGTTGAGAAGGGGCTTTAACGCGGGAGCAAGCTCCGGGCTTGCGGCTGCGTACGAGGAGCGAGCGCGCGTGCCTGGCGTTAGCTCCGCTCTTCGGCGTTGCCTTTTTTTCTGCCGCCCTGGCGAGCCCTCGGCTCGGCGAGGTGGGGAGAGCTCTCCCGCACCTCTACTGGGGGCGACCCTGGGAGCTTCGACAGCAATGCCTGGTTGGCCCATTGGATCTTCATCGCTAGGACCTGGCTCCCATTGTAAATGCATCACCTCAGAGCCCTGCTAGCCTCATTTTTTCTCCTCGAACAGCAGCAACAGCTCTTCACAGCCAAAGTGCAAGTACCTCCATGCTGAGCCTGGGTTCCCTTGCATGCACCCTCGCTCCGGTTGGTGAGGAGTCACCCCCCACTACCCTGTAGTCACACAGAGGAGAATTTGTTAGGTGTTACTTGTACTTCTTCCTACAGTTTCTTATTGTCCTGGCTTACCTCCTTAAATTACAGGCGCGTGAACCCAGCCAAAATGGATTAAATGGAGAGGCAACTGGAAGAACAGAGCGACACAGAAGAGGAGCACGCCGTGGGCCTGAGCAGCTCAGGTAGACCTATGGGGCTGGAAGTTGGGTGGCTGGGCGAGCAGCAGAGGTGCCTTCCATGTGTGACCAAATTGACTTCGCGTCCCCTTTGCTTGTTCCCTCCCAGCTGTGCAAACTGGGATCACCTTCCCCCAGGTTTTTGTCTTGCTGCTCCCCTGGGTTACCATCAAATTTACACGCAGGGGTGCCCAAGAGCTGACCAAAAGGGAGGTCATCTTCTGCTTGGCACAGCCCTCTGGGCAGTCCCTGACCCCCCCAAAAAACTGGACAACCCAGGCACTGCAGGGAAGGTGACACAGCAAAAGGGTATGGTGACACGCGATGGGAGGGCACATCCAGCCCAGCCTGGGCAGGGGAGGTGCGGAGAGCTGTCGTGTGGGTGCTGTGCCTGTAGATGGCACCTTTTACTCTGCCTCTGCTGAGGAGGAGGAAAGAAAAACTGAGATTAAAAAAAAAAAATACGCCAACCAACTGGCTGGTAAGGTAGGGCTCCAAGCTAAGAGAAAGATGCTTTTGGTGCGTGGCATGAAGTGACTCAGGGTAGTCATCCTCTGGGGAGGAAGGAACCCAAAGCTGTCCCCCTCTCACCGTAACGGCCTGTCGCAATCACCGCCAAACGGTCGCTACTCTCTGAATTTACTACCGTTCCCGAGCAGTAGGAAATTACACCCAGGGCTGTTTCAAAAGCCAGCAAAAAGCACCCCCAGCTGCTCCGAGAGTTGGGATGAAGGTGGTTTGGGGATTTTTTTTATCCTCTTAACCCCTTCTGGCGATAA